GTGTGTGTGTGTGTGTGTGTGTGTGTGTGTGTGTGTGTGTGTGTGTGTGTGTGTGTGTGTGTGTGTGTGTGTGTGTGTGTGGTGTTGCAGTGGAAACACGCTTTCTCTGATTCGGGCTACGCAATCACTTGTCACGCAAGACGTACTTTTTTTTTTTTTTTTTTTTTTTTTTCCTTATTACGAAAATCATGTTGAGGCCGGGGACCTCACAATTCTACCCGGTTCTGGAAGCATTACCCAGTGTTCGCTTTTGACGGGACCTCATAGGACCCGAGAGCATACAACAGTTTACATCTTAAACCTCCAGTTGCAAGACGTACTCACACTGGAAGTAGACGGCTTTCTTGACGACGTGATTGACGTTTTTTTCAGACTTGGTACCGTCGAGTTCAGTTCTCTCAGTCATCAATCTGGACCGTTGGCTCAGCGGACTGATCGGTGGTTGAGATGATTGGAGATCAGTAGTCCACAAGTCACTGGGGAATTGGTAACCCCCACGTGGGCTACGGTTGTAGATCCTGGCTTCAGCCAATGCCTGCCCACCACCTTCACCCCCCCCCTCCTCCCCACTTCCTTTATCCTGCTGCTTTTTCCCCCCTCAACCCTACATCCTTGCTATCCTTACGCTCCTTACCTTTATATTTTGCGCTGCAAACAGCAACCGGGTCGTCTTCATCATATCGGTCCGTTAAAATTTAACATTTTGGAGTTCGGTACACACAGCATAGAAAGTTGAGCATTGTTTTTTTTTTTTTTTTTTTTTTTTTAACCTGGGGAGAGATGGCCCCTTCAAGTTATTGCTCGATGGTAGGAAGATGACAGCAACAGCAATTCACACACACACACACACACACACACACACACACGCACACACACACACACGCACACACACACACATAGAGACAGTCTGCTAGGGTCTTCCCCCGAACACCCTGGAAATGAAGGTATAGAAGTGATGTTTCCGGCCGGATACAGTCAAAATGAGGGTGCGTTGTGTTCGGGGGAAGACGGTAGGGTTGCCGGGTAGGTGGGAGTAAAGTCGATCACTTTTCTCAGTGGTATCGCTACGACGCTACCTCCTGCTGAGTCGGTGCAAGTCCGAGGAAACAGTCGGGCTGACTCTGGCACACTTCTGCTTTTCTTTTCTTTTTTTGCCTTTTTCTTTTTGAGGAAACTGCTCCCGAGTCACACTTTAAGTTTGAAATAAGTTTGAAATAGGCAGGAAAAACCACTCCGTTGCAACTACAAATCTGAGGAGTTCAAAGAGGCAAAAAAATAAACTGGACATGGCAGCCCTACCAGGGCTGTAGTTCGTTAGAGGCAAAAACAGCAGAAAAAGCGGGTGCCACACAGCGACCTGCTACCGGGACCGTTGTAGACCACCAGGACCTGTGGACAGAGTAGCACCTAGAAGGGCCAGGTCCCATAGGCAGATTAGAGTTTCCTCAATGCCCGTATCTGGACGTGTTTGTGGACATGTGGTGTTGAGGAAATATAACGCCATTTGTGGATATGTGGTGTTGAGGAAATATAACGCCATTTCTGCAAATCTCCTCCAACACGTCCAGATTCGGGCGTTCAGAAAACTCTACCCCGCTGGTGGGCGTTCAGAAAACTCTACCCTTTAAAAAAAAAAAAAAAAAAAAAAAAACTCTACCCCGCTGGTGGGGCACTGTGGAGCCCACGTGGAGAGGGTGCAGGCTTTTTTTTTTTTTTTTTTTTTTTTTTTTTTTTTTTTTTTAAATTGAACGCGGCTCCGATCTATTTGTGGGGAGCAACACAGCTGGGAACCGGGCCCAGCGTCGTCCCCTCTTTTTTTTTCTTTTTTTTTTTTTTTTAATTGAACACGGCTCCGATCTATTTGTGGGGAGCAACACAGCTGGGAACCGGGCCCAGCGTCCCTTATAAAATCTTCTGCATAGGTACGGGGC